CTTCAAGGAGAGGTAGTACGGCTTTTGTATGACCTAATAAGAACAGGATAGCTTTCATATTAAGACCGTCTGCGGAATGAATCTAAATTCAACAATTTGGAGAAAGATGGAACTATGGTCGACGTATAATCAACATGGTCTAAAACCATCTCAGTTCTCATGTATGCACCGAAGATATGGAGGACGCGCATAGCGCACTTGACAGACTAGCAACTTTTGTCACACCGTTCGGTATGTGCCTTGCACCCTCGAAGTGCAAAGTGATGCTGCGAGGCTGGGTGTGGCCCAGTCGCGCTCTGAAACTAGATGGTCAGGAACTAGCTGAAGCTGACTGCTTCTTGTATGTGAGCAGTTGCGTGACCGAAAATGGTAGCGCATCAAAGGAGATAATCGCCAGCATTTCCAATGCTCCAGCAACGTACGCAGAACTAACACCTGTGGCGACAACTTGACATTTCACTAAAGTACGGTTAGTTCGGCTCTACGGTTGAGACCTTGAGTTCGCGGCCAAAACATGTCACCTAATTGTTTTCGACAATAGATGCTTAGGTAGTCTGACCCAGGTGGGATGGAGCGAGCGGTTAAGTAACCTAGAAGCAAATCTTTGGCTGTTTGGCATTTCAGCACGGTAGGCTCCGTTGGTTCTGTGCGTCTATCGGTTGCCTACCGTATCACACATTATATGCAGTGGCCGCTACAGACCGGAGAAAACCATGTGGAGGCCAGCAGATGACTTGGGGACGAGATATAAAGAAATACACAGAGCGATTAGGTAAAGTAGGTGTCTCCTATATTCCGGGTTGGGGTCCAAAAGACTCCGTAACCGCACAGTTGGAGACATTGAAGATCATGGTAGCAAACCGACAACAGTGGCAATCTTGCTATCAGACGAGGATGCTAGTAGTGTGTATGCACAGTTGGATTATCATGTGTTGACCATTGCTTTCTGTCCCCGTCACCCAAAATAAGCCATATCCCTATCCTCTTTACCTTACCTTGAATACGTAGCGAGTTTGCCAGCGATTAGTGAATTTCACTTGACTGTATTACGCTGTACGATGACCATGATGATGATTCTATTGGGGTGTTCAAGCGAGGAAGTTGGCACTCCATCGACTCGAAGGATGATCAAAACCCCCACCACCAAACTTCCAACATCACTGCTCCCCAAAGCATCTGTGTTATTGGTATTTTTTTCTCAAAAACTGACCGTATACTTTCAGTTAGTTTGTACTAGCAAAATTAGTCACCAAAATAAAATGAAACAATTACTACTGAAAATTAAAAATTTGACGGAAGTGACGTGAACAAGAGTCAGCAGTATGAAGCACCGCTCATATTCTTTTTCCTACTCATGCATTTGATATGCGTTTTATGGCAACAAAAAAGTCATTATGATAATCTCTTGTAGTTTTCCGAAGTTTCAGTTTCAGTTTTTACGATCATTACCCATGTACTTTAGTGCGCCGGTTTTGGTTGCTGTCTTTTGGCCGTCCATCTCGAGAAAAGAGCGGAATGAAGATTGAAATGTTGAGAGCAAATCCAAGAAGATTGAGAATTCATACAGACTGAAGTTCCAGGGATAATGAGATGCATGAATGCCACTGTTTACGACACACAGCCATATCGCTCAGTGTCCCTAACCATCAGTGATCATCATATCTGAGTCTCCAGCCAAGGAGCCTAACGAGACCTATGTATCCCAGTCACCTGGTCAACGTTTTCATACCCTCGTGCCGAGTCTTACTTTGACCGCCCTTGACCTTTATTCAACCGCTACCTGCCGCAGCAAACATCGCTCGCGTAGCAACCTGTCTGGTGACATGCACGCACCACCACACAAAAACAGCATGATCCCTTATTTTGCTCGCATCTTGATCAACCGAGTAAATATTATTGCTGACTTGAACAATCATCTCTCACATTGGGATTTTACCTAAATCCGTTTGTTTGTCATTTAGTAAATGTATATTTCTTCTTTTTCCAACACTTACCGTTTTCCCTACTGTAACACGTCGAAAATGCTGAAAATTCATCCTATCGGGTACATACAGCTTTACGTGACTCGACTTGACTTGTAACACATGTCCCAACCAACGTAACCTATGAAAGTCGACTACTTACTCCAGTGGACGACCGTGCTTGCCTAAAACTATACGCCTAACCTCAGCTTTCCTAGTCCGGTTACCCCACTAAACTTGTGCAATGCGACATAAACAGCGCTGTTCCAACACCGACAACCTATTTTTATCCTCTTCCCGTTATGGTCAAGTCTATGCACCGTAGAGCAACACTGGCAGAACTGCTGCAGCATACACTCGACTCTTAACAGACAGCCGGATGTCGCGACGGCGCAACAGATGTCTCAAGTTGGCAAATACAAACCGAGCCTTTTGTATGCGCGCCGACATTTCATCTGTGATTCGTCCACCGGGTGAGATGTAGCTGCCCAGATAGAAAAATTTGTCTACTTCCGCTTCTGCTTCCACAGTCAGGGTGAAGTTGGGGGGCCGGACCGACCGAATCTGGTAGCAACATTCAACACTTTGAAGGTGCAAAACGCATACTGAACATGGCTACACTAGCACTCGAACTATCCAGAAAAGCTTGCAACTTACTTGCATCTTCGCTTAGCACAACACTATCGTCTGCATCTCTAGAGCAGACAGTCTGTCACCTGGAAGTAGACAGATGCCACCATTCTCGCACGTGGTTGGGGCAGATTCCAGAATAAAATCTACAACAAAGTTGAATAGAAAAAGAGAGAGGGCAACCCTGACAAACACCACTTTCCGAGGTGAACTCGGGTGAAAATGCCGTAACCCCGGATCCGATTCCGGCTATCAGTATAAAGCGATCGTGATATGGATTTTAACTTCTCGCCAACACACACTTCATCGAAAGGTAGCGCCAGAGTTTAGAGCGAGTGATTGAGTCGAAAGCCGCTTTCAGATCCAGGAAGAGAGAAATGGTGGGTCCACGAAAAGAATGTCAATGCCCCAGATCATCATCATCGTACAGCGAGATACAGTGAAGCGAGCTTCACTGATCGCTACCAAGCTAACAATGTACACAAATCAAATGATAAAGCAAAAGATGGAGAGGGATTGGCCTACTTGGAGGGAGGCAAAGAAAAAGAACCTCTATGTTCAACAAACAGAGTACACAATCTAAGTGTTCATGCATACCTTTTTCAAGC